ATCTCTTTCAAATGCTGGTGAGGACACTGAAAATAGAGCAGAATAGCTATGAGTGTGAATTAAATCTAGAGGTTAAAGCTCAACCATGAATATGAGTTAAATCCAATTACCAGAGAACATAAAGAAGAAAAAAATCTTTGACATACTCAATCCGGATTACTGAGCTTCTGAACTGGTTCTTCCTTCTGCTAGTCCAGCTTCAGTTCAACACAAGCAAATTATTTTTCAGGAACTTATTTTCTACAACTGCACTATGTTGTTTTCTTTACAACTAGGCACACTCTTCCCAATTTACCTTTGAAACTTTGGGTAGGGTTGATCACCCAGCTAGAACACTACTCCACACCAACTAAGAACATTTATGAAGGCATGCTTTTCACATTGCGGTATATCAAACTTCCAAAAAACAACAAAAAAGAAAGATACACACACCAAGAAGGAAAATCAGAGGACTGCCCTCTCTTTGAATGTGTCCTGGCTGAAGGGTCATCTTGTTGTATTCCAATTTGAAGAAAAAGAACCAGAAGGTCTCTTGCTGATTAACAGTTTCCATCCTGGCATTAGACTGAACAGGCAAGCAAGCAGATCCCCTGTTACAGTCTTCCTCATCATGGTATTTCTGTTTAAATTGTAATTATGTCCAAATGTGCTTCTATGTATAAATCGCTGTCCTTTTTACCCCCACCTTTTTTTTTTAATTTATAGATGGTAGTACAGAACCAGAGGTAGATGAACCACCCTAGATCAGTTTCGTTCAGTATCTCATTTTCCAGTCTTTGTTGTTGTTAGTTGTGACGTCATGTCCGACCCTGTCCAGTCTTAAGTTTGGTTTATTGTGAACTTTGAGAATCTCTCCCATCTTAATTTAGTTCTTTCCAAACTTTGAGAATTAAAAACAAGTTGCATGACATTTATAAGCATTTTTATACAGATTTCTCTTGATAATGCTTTTTCATATGCATTTTTCCTAATACATACATTTTTATATCCAGTTATCCTACTGTAAACAACTGTAATGTCATTTTCCCTAATATATGCATTGCATATGCTTTTACACTGGAAATTTCCACTGCAAAATATGGAAAAATGAATTTTGTAAAAAGCTGAATTTCAATTCATATGGTTTCACAAGTGGAAAATTGGGGCAATCTCCATTAAAATGTGAACTACACCCATTCCTCCTCATGTCCGTACAGAAACTGCCACGCATGGCATTGTTTCCACAAAAAGTCACTTAAAGGGAGTAAGAGGCACTCCCCACAGACAGCTGGTTGACCCCTGCGTGTGCAGAATGCTGCATGAGAAAGACCTTTGGGTCTGATCCAGCATGGCTTTTCTTATACTTTTAACAAAATTATCATTTCTGTAGACAAGCTATCCCAATTAGCTGGGAAAACTTATCTGAGCTGGGCTGAAGTTATCACGTGTCAAATTTCAGCACCAATTTGTTTTGGATCGTTTAGTGTTTTTGTTTTTCTATCAGCTAGATACAGAATAAAACAAGTTCCATCTTATATTTTCAAGAGTCAGGTGAATGACTTTGGGGGGACAATGTATAGAGCACTTCAGTGGCCCTCAGTAGCAGCTCTCATTTCTCTGAATGCCATGCTCTGTGGGACTTAGAAAGAATAGAAACTGCGCCCTCCAATGGCTTAACAACCAAAGTAAAGGATTAGAAGGGAGCTCACAACCAATTATTTATTGAACTCCTTTTACCATACCCTATTAAAATGTAGTGCACCCTCTCACACTGTAAGACTAACAGCAAGGCTTGGCAATAAGGACGTGGTTATCTGACACAAAATTGTGGAGGTCTCCCTAACTTGTGAGAAAACACATGAGCTCTATGCTCCCCTATGACAGACCCACATATATCTGATTTCAGTTCTGGGTCAATGTGCTTGATCCATGCTTTTCCTTGCCTGCTCGCCCAAAAATGGGCTGAGCAGCCCCCATCTGATTCCAACCCTTCCTCTACAGCTTAAGCAATAAACAGGCTGAAGCCTCCTGAGTCCAAGGGAACCTGCCATCCCTTGAGTTAGTAGACAATGAGAAGCAGGCTGAGAAGTAAGAGTCCCCTCTTTGAAAAGGAGCAGGATGTTCACCAGGATAGGCTACACAAATATATATACTATCACCCCATTACAAGGAAAGCAAAGCCAAATAGCCAAATGATATTCACCCCAGCCAAACTAATATCAGTGCGGAGTTGTGCTGAGTGGAAAGAAGGAAAATTCATAGTCAGATCTGAAGAGGAGAACTTCTTGAGAATATGGGTGAGATACCATGCTGGATCCAAGTGAAAGGGTGAGGGGTTCATCAGTCTTATAAAAGAACTCTCTGCCCCTACCTGGCCTGACTGTGACAAAGATCTTCTAGTCCTTCTAGTATTCAAATGCAGGGCAAACTCACTTCCACTGCATGCCCTGTGAGTAACTAGAATGTATTTTTGTGAAATAAATTGGAAAGCATGGAGGAAAATGACATATGCATTCTATTATTACTGTACTGAATAGGCTTAGAGCTCTGTGAGTATCTAGATTTTTTTTACAAGTCAAGTGAGTTCAATAGATGAGGTGACTACTGCATCCACATGTGTTTTAGCTTGATCAGCACATGTCACTCCTGGTGTTTCCATTCCTTAAAATTAGACTGGTACCCCTCTGAAGACCTCCATGCCTTCTCCCACACATAATTTGCCTGAATAAGTTCTGTATAAATCATGCAGGATGAAGGAGCACTGCTTAGCAACCAAGGGCTGGTTTCAGATTTCAAGAACCTGAAGTTTGAGATGACTGGAGTACAGGTCAGAATGGCCAATTTTCAGAACTGGTAGTTCATTTCTGAACATGCACACACGATTTCACATTTCAGCACAGCCACAAATTATCTTTGTTGCTATGGATCCTGAAGAAAACAGCTGAAATCATATAGCCGCAAAAGATACACCAGTCTATGGACCAAAATAGACGCAGATGTGATTTGATTTTAGAACACTGACTGAATTAAGATGACTGATGAAAAACCAGCCTGAGAAATTTAGAAAGAAAAAGGTTCCTTATGGACGCAGGAGGACAAACAGTAGCTATGGCAATGCACCTGCCTAAAGATCCCTGGTAGAAAAATAAACATCAGTCTTGAATGTGCTGACCTGACAAGAGAAGGAAAAACAATAATAAAATGCTAACCACAAAATACATCTTCAGATGGATATAGCAGAAGACCAACAAGGCACTTTCAAAATAATCAAATGTAATACTTTCCAAGCTTTTCCCTTACCAAGCACTGATGCTACCATTTAGTCATTGACTGTAACAATCTGTCTCTGACAGTGCAAGATAGACAAATGCTTCTTTTCTTGACCAACCACATGAATCAACACTGACCTGGTTCACACAATACAGCATCCTATCATAGGCAGCTAGCCATGATGGGTTGTCATGTTGTATGAACCCAGACCACTTTCCACAGGATGAATTATTTTTTGCCTGAAACATGGCCTGCCAGGATGGGTTACAGAACCATTCAGCAAGAAAAGCAAAAAAGTCTGCTTTTTGCAGTCTTACCAGTAGTTGCATTTCCACTGATAGCAACATGACACTTGGGAACAACTGTCAGTCATTCCAAGGCTTATAAAAAATGGGTGTCAAAAGTACACAATTGGAGACTTTAAAAATATTATTACTTTTATCAGTCTTTTGCAAGTTTGCCCTTATGGCTGCCTGTTTTCTGTAATCTTACCTGGTCAATTTTCTTGTGTATTTTAGCAAGGGGATCTTCCAAGTGGAATATGTCCCATATAAAGAAAGTGGCAAGACAAGGTGTGTATGGACTAATTTGCACACAGCTGCAAAGTACAGGGGGAGGAGTAAGAATTAAGGAAAGAAGAGATCCATTTGCGCTAATTAGTGAAATGGAAGTGGGGGAACAAAAGGAGTAGGTTAGGGAGAACTAAGAGAAAGAGAGAAGTGCTAATACAATTCAGAAGCACCAAAAATCGTGGGGAAAGCTAAAGGAGCAATTATGCCTAAAGTGGGAGTGGGTAAAGGAGAATGACACACTCTGGTTGGCTATCACAACAAATACATGATGGTCCATGTTTTTTGTGAGGAGTGGCTGGTTGTCCCTGACAGACTGTGCTAGCATAGTTTCCACCCTCCTCCCCCAGTCTCCCTACTGATGTCATATATCCCATCAGCCACTGCACCTGAAATTCAATCCCATGCTGGATGGCTGGGGCAGCTCCTGCAGCAGTTGTAACTCTTCCAGGGGTCTCTGGTAGCAGAATAGCAAGACCATGGAAACCACAGAAATTGAGTAGAATTTTGTGACACTGGAAAATTTGAGCCCAACAGACTGCAGCAATATGGTAATCAGAAATGAATTGTGCTGAAATTCTTTTACATGTTCCAGATATGTACTCAAATTATTCACATAGTGAGAATCAAGAGTTGCAGATGTGTAGTTCCAGTTGCACAACAGCTATTTGCACCATTAAGACCTTCTGAACAAACTGGGTCTAAATTTTTAAAGCTGCTTGGTTTGTAGTGTTTTTAATTTTGTATTGCTTTCATAAGTCCATTATGCAACCCTAGGCACAGCATTTTCTCTTGGAAGATCCCTGTCTGTTTCAACCCTCCACTATATGGCTCTAGGTATTCCCTAATTCACAAAGAACTTTTTGTTGTTATTTTGTTCAGTTCATCTTCAGCACTATGGATTTCCCAGTATGATTAAATGATTTGTGCATATCAAATTGGTATGGCTTGGCTCATGTCAGATCAAGGTGACACCTCCTTGGGGACTATGGAATTGATTCTAGAGGAGTGAGTTGGAAAATTCTATCAGATTTACAGATGCAGACACCTCACACAATCCTACAGTCAACCAGAAAGTAACTGTAGTTCAGCTCTTAATCGATCAATTAGCTTCAAACTACCATAAGACCAAACTCAAAAGGCATTCAGTATCAATTTCCTGTTCGAAAACAGCTTTCTTACCTTCCTTTTATTAGTAGGACTGACATAAAGGTAACTTAGCACTGTCTTCAATCCAACCTTGTCATTTAGCTTTTCATAAGTAGTGCCATAATCTGTGGACCTGAAATAAAGAGAAATTGGACTTCATTATTTGTTAGTCCTTTGAGCTGTCCTACATATATCCATTTCATATTGATGGCCATTAGTCCCAGAAATTCCAAATTAGACACACAGTGAATCTTACTTAGATATAGGGGCTGGCATGTGCCTTCCAGGCCACATGAGGGCAGCAAGGAAGTCACTGCGCTTAAGATTTGGGGGTTGATTACAGGCAAAAAGAAAAAAAGCTCATTAACATCTTGCAATAGCCATTTTTACCCATATGACTTCAGATTCTACAGAAGTTCACTTCCCATATGGTTCTCAATTTTAAAAATGGCTATAGATGTGTATGAATGAAAACATAAGATTTATATACAGAATTGTTCACAAAATCACATATGGCATTGGCATCCATTTCCGGAAAATACAGGCATAATGGGCAAAGAGTGTCTCTTAAAACAGATAGAGGAAATGGATTCAAGTTAAAATTATCAGGAATGAGGACAGCAGATAGTCAAGGATAAAAATCCCTCTCTGGTAATTGGCCAGATTGCTTCTCTAGTGTACTAAGATTAATGTAACTGCCTCAATGCCAGGCATTATTTTTCTTCCTGAGAAGCTTGGTATCAGTCCCTGTGCTGGCAAAGCCTGAAAGATGCAACAGATGATCTGGAGGTGGCATTCCCTGCCTGTGATTGGCAGGGAATGCAGATTTTCTCTCCAATGGCTTTCTCTTTCCGAGACCTTCTCTTGTTCTTACTGTTTGTTTATTCTCTGTGAATACTATGAAGGGACAAGTTCCAGTCCCAGACAGTCACATCTGAAGAAGATCCTATCTTGATATTCGTCACTGCCCTCACATAGTTTGTGGCAACAAACAAGAGGATTTATTTCAAAAGATTTAGCTCACCAGAATTCCCATGATTACAAAGGCACCGTTTGCTGGCACTCCCATGTACTAATAGATTTTTGTGGCTCATGTATTCCATATTATAACACACACACACTCTATGGGTCAGGGACATTTGTTGCCATATTACACCATCAGAAGCCAATTGTCTTCAGCCTTTTTTTACCAGTTCCCAATTGCTTCCATATTTCTTTAGCAAACATTGAGCTTTTTTGCTCAATACTTGCTCAACAAAAAGCATACAATTTATAGATACATCACTTGCTCAGGAAAAGTAAAAAAGTTTTGCACTATTTGGAGTCAGATTGCAAGGTCAATTGATTGTGGAATCCATAAGGGGGAGGTATAAATCAATATCACTGACCAGCTCTGTGATATCATGTCTTTTGCCAATTTCTGCAATTGGCTTTTAATCTTAAAATGGGCTGAGACAACTTGAGAAACCACAGTTTTAAGAGCACTTGGTCAGGATCCAAATCCTGAACCCATCTGTCTTGGTACTGAGCACAGGCTTATTGCTGACAAGTGACCTCCCCTTAAAGCAGAGCTTGGAATTAGAGTTCCTCAATGTATAAAGCTGAATACTGGTAATATGGGAGCAATTAAATCCCCAGTAGGAGACAGCCAGTAGTTCTAGATTCATAGGGTCAGGCAGTTCTTAATAGATAAATATCCCTAAATGCTTTGTAATGGAAATAGCATGAGTGCTAACATAGTTTTTGACCTAACCTCACTAAAAGGGCTTATGCACTAAAGAATCCAGATGCATATTATCCAAGAGAAATGACATTCAGGGATTATTAGATGATGTGGAAGGGAAAAACAGATGATGAGAGTGATTACTAATTTATAGGGCTGAGCCAAAAATGGTGATGTAATTTCCACACAAATTATCTTCCCAAGCAAATCACCCCGTCATTTTGCCCCCTTGTTTAGAGGACCTATAAAATGATGAGGAAAGGAAACAGGTTGATTTTTCCCCATTCAGACTGAGGACAAGAAGCATTGCCCTCATTCTGACTTGGCTTATGATATCATCACAAGTGTGCATTCAGTATAAAATGAATAAAAACTAAACAAACACACCTTATTTATTTTCATGTATCTTAATGTAAACATTAGCATGAACACAAAAATAAATATGAAAAAGAATTGTGGATTCATTCATTCATTTCCCTTTTTCACATGAGGGAATAGAGCAGTGCCTGCAGATAGCATGAGATTTGGACAGAAAATCTCAAAAGTAGATACAACTAGAAGGCAGAGTAGGGATCTGTTGAAATGAATGGTAAATCAAACATGAAGGTAAAATTAATGTAATTAACATGAGGGTTAAACCAAAAAATACACACAGTTGAAATTAAACCTAAATTAAATTAATGCTGCTTTAACACTTAACAGAAAACAGAACATGGAACAAAACTAATTCTCACTCATTTCTCCCTTTCACTTTAGAAGCTTCCAGGTAGCTTCCAGGTGGCCATGCTCGGATCTTACAAATGTTAGTATCAGTAAACTGAAGACAGTCTGTGCTTCAGTCATGCTGATAAATACTATTTCCATTTCAAAGCTAAGAATCCAGGGGGTCTAATACTGAAGAAAGTTATGAGGAAAGATAGTGAAGTGTTAAATTCTTCTCTGGTTTCCTAATAGGATATTTTTGAAAGACTGAAAGTGGCCAGTTAAAGCTGCTAAGAAACACTTCCATTCTTTTTCTCCTTGAAAGACTGAAAAGAATGAAAGATAAACAGACAATAAACAGGTTCTTTAGGGGCAACCAGCCTGTATTGTAATAAAAACCTCTATTTTCAGAAGATGTGACAATAACAGGCAGGGAAATAATAGCTTTCAAACTATTAACCTATTGTTTACATTCTGTTTGAAAACCCAATGAAATTAGCATTTCTGTATTACATTTTTGTAGACTGTATGATTTTTTTTTTTTTTTTTTTGGTTAAAGAAAGGGGAGTGGTTCTTCACATTAACCAAAAAATCACCAAACTGATCTTTCATGCCCATTCATTCTAGCTTGCCATTTTGGGGGGCAAGTTCATGATCAATATTTACAAAGAAGCAAATTGAGGTAACTTTCTTTGGATCCCACAACAAGTGTGTTGATCTCAGGAGTGTGAAACTTAGTTTTCAATATGACAAAAAACAACATTGAGAGAATGGTGTGTATCAGTTGTCTCCCAGACAGCATCTGGTGACAATTAGAGGTACTTCTGAAGGGGAAGACATCTAAACAAGCACACACCAAGGGAAACAGTGGGTGTGGGGGGAGCTGCCTCTTATGTGAATGAGACTACTGATGCAGTGCAGCTTTTATTTTGAGTTTTAGAGAAGCTATCCACTGCACTAAAATAGATGGAGCACCATGGAGACCTCCTGTACAACTGAAAAGAAAATCTGCAGTGGACCAATCTGACATAGAAGTCTCCAGGCCCTTCTGAGAAAGCCTAGGCTTCCCAGCATGTGTGATCAGAGAATGCAGGCTATGGGGCACAAATTGGATACAATGTTTGCTAATCATCAGAGGTGATTGGATAAAATATTTTCTAATAACCAACATGGGCTAACAGGAATGATGAATACTGGAGGAAGAGGGATGCACCAAACCCCAAGATCTTAAAAGAGAAGTGGATCAACTGGTCATCAGAATTTGCAGATCTCTTTACATTGCATGGCATTTAGCCAGGAACCTGGAAAGATCTCCCCATCCCCTGCAGAAAAAAGAATGGGTGGGTGGGTGGGTGGGTGGTGGGAGGGAGGGAGGGAGGGAAGAAACCAAGAAACCAAGATGTGTAGAAGTAACATTATCATTTGACATCTGAGGAAATCCCAAAAATGCCTCTTCTCCTTCCTGGCAGTATAAACACAGCAGTGATGAACAATTAACCATTTACTGGTCTTTCACAACATCCTAAATTATCTGCCTTTAGGTGACCACTTTAGCCTGCCAAATAGCTTTCCTGAACCATGAAGGATCTACCAGAAGACATGGACAGGACTGTGCTGTTTCACACAACTGTAATGAGATATGCAGCAGCCCACTGATTTGAGAGGCACCTTTAGTTCCCTAACTTCCCCAACACATTGATCTGTCGTGGACATCAGTATGTTAGCATATTAATTCCGACAATGTCACCCTATAACTCCATGTCCTGCCAATGATTTCCAGATGATCAAACAAGGTCCAGAAGAAAACATAGAGCTATAAAGAGGATGGGCTACAAATGTTAAGCTTTCAAGAAATGTTTCAACTTTTTTTTTCTTGTTTCTTTAACGCTACTGGATTAATGTGCTTTATTTATTATTTAATACATTTCTATACCACCCAAGAATTCAAACTGTTGGGATGATTCACAACAATTACAACCATTAATTATAACATATAGTGCAATATAAATGTTTGAAATTACAGTATAAAGTTTAAGAAAATGCCACAGTGAAACCTAGCAGGACTACAATGAATTAAAAATCTGTAAAGGATTTCAAAGAACAGAGACTGAAAGACTAATGCCTTGGAAATCAGATCTTCACCTGGCACAGAGAAATGTCGGTGCCTGGTGAGCTTCTCTGAGAAGTTTATTCCACAACCCATTTCTTAGAGTACCTTTTATGCTGCAGAAAATAGGTGCCGAAAAAGCCCAGCTTGAGTTCATAGTTTGTGAAATAAATTGTCATTTTGGTGGTTGGTTGAATCTGTTTCCTCAGCAAATTAGGACCAGGTTATTTTATTTATTACATCTAGACTCTGCCTGTGTTCCTTTTGTAAAGGACCCAAGGCAGCTCACTTAGCCCTACACCTCAGTGGTGCTGGTGATTTCTTTTTACTGATATTTAAAAGGATGTCCATTGCTTTTCACCACATCCCAAATGATCCAAAAACATCATTTGGGAAGAAGAGAAGAGACAGCTTTAAAGAATTTCAAAAATTATTTGTATTGCATTTTGCATTGATAAACTTCTGTCATGTGTGTTACAAACAATGGCACATTGTTTTTAAGAAGATAAAATAAAACTAAGTTACAATTTAGGACTTTTATTACGAAATGTGAAGAGAATAGTAAAGTTCAAAAGGGAAATGCCATAAACTCAGACAATAC